ATACTGTATTAAATTAACTCGTATATACTGTATTAAATTAACTCGTATATACTGTATTAAATTAACTCGTATATACTGTATTAAATTAACTCGTATATACTGTATTAAATTAACTCATATATACTGTATTAAATTAACTCATATATACTGTATTAAATTAACTCATATATATTCTGTATTAAATTAACTCATATATATACTGTATTAAATTAACTCATATATATACTGTAGTAAATTAACTCATATATTCTGTATTAAATTAACTCATATATTCTGTATTAAATTAACTCATATATATACTGTATTAAATTAACTCATATATATACTGTAGTAAATTAACTCATATATACTGTATTAAATTAACTCATATATTCTGTATTAAATTAACTCATATATACTGTATTAAATTAACTCATATATACTGTATTAAATTAACTCATATATTCTGTATTAAATTAACTCATATATTCTGTATTAAATTAACTCATATATCAGTGTAAGAAGAAAACACAGTGTAACCATATGACTGATGAGGACTATTGTTAACTTATTAATGGTGATACTGGTTTGTGTGGGATCAGGGGCTCCAAACACAGCAGAGCTGAGGATTTGTCGAGTCAACAGGAACAGTGGAAGTGTTAAAGGAGGAGATGAGATCTTCCTGCTGTGTGACAAAGTTCAAAAAGGTGAGCCTGTCCTCTGCTCAGGACTGGAGTTTTTTATTATAAAACATTATAAAAAGGTTTTATCTGATTAATGTTTTCTCTCTTTATGTTTGGACTCCTCCAGATGACATTGAGGTTCGTTTCTTCTCGTCAGATGGTTGGGAGGCCAGAGGCTCCTTCTCTCAGGCTGATGTTCATCGTCAGGTGGCCATTGTGTTTAAGACTCCATCGTACTACAACACGTGTGTCACAGAGTCCGTCACTGTGCACATGCAGCTGCGCAGACCCTCCGATCAGGAAGTCAGTGAACCCATGGACTTCAGATTTCTGCCTGATGACAAAGGTGAGCCTTTCATTTATAAACCCTGAGTGACTTTCATCTGTAAGTACWGCTGAGGATCAGGTTTCTTTCTTTAGTCTTTGTTTGACGGGACAAATATAAATACACAACACTAGGACAGTTAGAGCAGTTAACATATTATTAACATCATAGCAAGGTCAAATATCAGACTGTTGATGGAAAAATGAGCCAGTCTGCAACCAGTTTATTTAATGTCTCAGACACAAACTGCTGTTAGCTCACAGTTCTGACTGGACCAGGACTTACTGAAGCTCCAGGTCTTTGAGGAACCAGCAGGTCTGTCTGCAGCTGCTGAGCCTGACCTCAGGACAGGATTTACTAAAACTGTCATCAGATTCATGTTTCAGAGCATCTAACAGGTTTTCTGTCCCAAATCTGAACTGTTGTCTTATAGATCAGAGACCTGATGGTTGTTGCTGCTGCTTGAGTCCAGAAGATGACTCAGTCAGTCACATGAAGGTTAGGTTAGGGTCACATGAAGGTTAGGTTAGNGATCCAGCAGACTACTGTGGTGAGGATGTTTTCTCTGCTCCTGATAAACCAGAGCTGGGTTATATGGCAAAGAAAATGATCACAATAAATGTTTTCATATCGTACGATCTCGATGAATGTCACGACTTTTTTTGTTAACTGTTAAAAAGGTGACTGAAAAATAATTTAACAAATAAACAAATAAATAGCTACAGAAATAAAAAATCATGGCTGTTATTTCACTTTTACTAATATAACAAATAGCTGTGGTTCAGTACAACGTGAAATTATGTTTGCAAAGTATTTAAAAGGTATTTACCAAGAAAAGAAATATTTATGTGTAAATCATAGAATCTCACACTAACCCTAACTGCACACTTGCCAACTGAATAGGATCGGTGTTTTAAACTGGATTACTTTGGTTAATTCTGTGTTTCATTAGCATCTTATAAACAGAAGTGGAGCAGGAGAAGGTGGATTCTGATTGGCTGTTGTCACATTTCCACCATGTTTGATCGATAGGAGGCTCACAGCTGATCACTGTGATCGACCTGAGTTTTTCTCCATCAATAATGGTGATCAAATAATCACCCAGCTCTGTGGTAAACACCAGGATGCACACATCTGTCACTGATGTTCCTTCAGTTTTATCTGCTTTGGAGGTTTTTATTCATGTTGAGCAGAAACTCAGATGTAACTGTGGTTAATGCTCACAGTTTGTTGTAGAAACACCAGAGAGAACACTCCAGGTTCTGTAAAGCTGCAGAAACAGGAAGTTCTTCATGCACAACAAGGCCTGAGACTACACACTGACATGGAGCACTTCCTCTTTTCATAACAGACATGTGACTTCTGGTAGCAACACCTCGACTGTGAGCCTGCTGTTTGTCAGGCCTCAGCCTCACACTTCACTTTAAATTAACTCATACAGTATACTGTATACAGTATTAAATTAACACACACATATATATTTATATACTGTATTAAATTAACACATATATACTGTATTAAATTAACACATATATATGGTATTAAATTAACTCATATATATACTGTATTAAATTAACTCGTACAGTATACTGTATACGGTATTAAATTAACACATATATACTAGGGCTGTGTATTGGCAAGAATTTGGCGATACGATACATATCATGACAGACGGGTCACGATACGATATATCC